GCTTTGCATATAGCACAGCTTTTTTAGACCATGTGGCACGCCTCAACTCAATAAAACTTTTCTAAGAGGGATTAAAATTTCGCTTACGTGTTTTTAGTGAAGAGTCTATATCTCGCGTTAATTATCTCCAAATTGGCTAAACTGCAAATGTTTGAACCACCATTATTCTAAAAAAAATAATCATAGGTGAAACACTGTTTTATTTATTTGAGCACAGAAAACAATACTTTTCGAGTGATGTACAAATTTTGTCAAAAGTTTCTAGTTCAAAATTCGAAATTGGTCCGGAGAAAAAACACCCCGAGCACAATTACTCTCTGTCACTTTCTATGAAAGTTGGAACAACTGGTCGCATCAGATTAAAACCCTTAGTGTTCAGTCTGCTCTTTACTTTTTATGCAGTGTTGTCGCTTTTTTCTACTTTTTTTTTGTAAACCATCCCCACAAGCAACTTTAAGTACAAATTGTTTTATTAGGTGTATAGCAAAGTAAAAAACAGACTCATATGCATGTTTTAATTCTTTATAACGAATTCTCTGATGAAGTTAAATTTCGCATATGCGTTTATAGTACGAAATATATAATCGCACGATATTTATCCCCAAATTGGCCAAACTGCTAATCTTTAAACCACCACTATTTCACAAAGAACAATCACAAGTGAAACACTGTTGTTTTTACTTTGAGAACAGAAAAACAAAACTTTTCGAGTGATATGAAAAGTTTTGTCAAAAATTCCTAGTTCAAAAGTCGAAATTGGTCCGGAGAAAAATATATACCGATCTTCAGTCACTTTCTACGAAAGTGTTGTCGCTTTGAATAAACTCACCAAATTTTGAAAAAAGGGAAACAACATTTTAAATTTTCTCTAACTTTTTTCTTCTAAATCTATCCCGACATGCAATTTTAAGTACAAAGTGATATTTTCAGCATCGAGAAAATAATAAGTAGACCTTTTTTATGCTTCAGTTTTTTCGAACGAATTCTCAGATGGAGTAAAATTCTGCTTATGCATTAATAGTACGAAGTATATTTCGCCCGTTCATTATCCCCATATTGGCCATTTTGGCAATCTTTAAACCCGCATAAATGTACAAAAAATGATCACAGGTGAAAGGATTGTTTAACACTAGGCTCAGGAAAACAATACTTTTGGGCTGTAAAAATACCGTCAAAATGGTTTAGTTAAAAAGTCGTGGTTAGTCTGGCGAAAAAACCACCCAGAGCTTAAATTTTCCATCACTTTCTTCAAAAGTCGGAACAATTAGCCATTGAAGCAAATTGCACAAAAATTCTTCAGACTCCACAGTTTCTTTTCCTTAAATAAAAGTTTTGTCAATGAATTTATCTGTTTGTCTTTCGGTTTCGCAGATTGTTCGATTACGCTAATTGTCAATAAATCTGTATATTTTTGTTTTATCCAATTGCGGAATCTCCTGATGTTTTTATGTAAGTCGCAGCAATAAAAAAAAGATGCAGGTTGATTGATGGAAATCAAAACAACCATGGCCATGCAAATGTCAATAATGTTAGCCATGTATGTGAATGCAATAAAATTGCCCGCTAACAAAATATAAAATAAGCTTTCTGTGTTATACTACGCTGTACGATTCCATCAGATTTCTGACCTCAAAAATTTTCGAAGTTTTGTGGATTTGTGTGCCAAAATTACAAGTTCCAGGAACTCAGTCGACAAGCAAGGCACCAAGATTAGCGTGGTAATGTACTTTTTCTTATCACCTCAGACATACCGATGCCTTGCATATAAACATCAAAAAATAAATATATTACGCCCTATGATTTTTATGATTGATCTGATCAATTTTTAAAGCTGCCATTGAAGCCAATATTGGATAAAAAAGAGGCTCGCCAAATTTCCAGTTTTCTACTATTACTTGAATGCATCTAAGTAACCCGATCCAGAAACACTTCCCAATTGATTTTATGTATAGTGATCAGTACAAAAATTGCTGTAATAGACCCAAAATCATACGACATTTGCTTGTTTAGATACGATTTGCGAAAAATTGAAGAAAAAAAAACGTTCGTTCTTAACAATTTTAGATTTTTTTTTCGTATTTTTTTCTAGCAAAAAAAATAAACTTTTTTACTACTTAGATCACATTTAGAAGTATTGAAAGTAGATTTCTGAAGCGTAGATCACTGATATTTTCTACCCCTAAAGGAAACGGTATCTCTTTAACTTTTCCCGTCCCTCTTTTCCAAAAGAGTGTGATATTCGTTATTACGTACAAAATTCTCATATGCTTAACCATTTATTTTTTTCTTTATAGGGGGAAGGGGGATTCGTTGCTAAGTACCCTAGGGGCTGGGGCGATAGTTAAAAAGATCTGTCATGGAGATGGAGAGATCGGAGATTGTAAGAGCGGGTTGAGAAAAATGTTCATCATACTATTTTATAGACCAAAAAACAAAAAAAATAGTATGAAAGTAGCATAAGAAACATTTTTGCCACATTTTGGAATTAAATAACAAGCTAATTGCCATACTTTTTATCTCAAAGATTTTATGAATTTATCGACAGCATTTCTTTTTACTATGAAATGGTATGATTAGCAGCTTTTCCATACTATGAAATTGTATGATACACATTTTCTAATAAGTATATGACAAGCATAATTGGAAATACAAAATTTTGGTTTCAAAAATTTTGTATTTCATCCAAAACTCAATAATCAAGGATTTTTTGTCATCAAAAAACCAGAGTGTAAATTACAGTTATCACGTAGCTAAACTGCGTTTGTTGATATTAGCCATTTAAGCCTAAGTTAACTTGTTCACTTCGAATTATATAACAAAAACGTACCTTTTTGTATATAGCTAGAAAAGTTCTAGTTTAAGTAGTTTAGAGTTTTTGATGGTTCAGAAAAAGACCTGCGTTTTACAAAAATTAGGTTTATCTTAGAATATGAAACCAAAAAAATATATTTAAAAAAAAACATGCTTGTAATTTTTAGATTTTTTTCTGTAAAAAAAACGCAAGCTAGACTACATCATAGACTCAAGAATTTAAATTTTGCATGCAAAATTTTCTTTTTCGTACAATGATTATTCAAGCAGAGAATCAGATTAGCAACCAGAAAAGGGCTTTAAAAGTTTTTTTACCCCAAATTTTATTACTATGGAAAAATGTTATCATAAAATTTTTTCAAAATTGTTTTTGAAGCCAATGTTGCTCTCATTCAATAAAACTACCACCAATTTACTTTGTTTGAGTTTCAAACCAACTTAAAATATTTTTTGAAAAAACGTTCATTGAAAAAATACTTGTCATAAAAGTTTTCTTCTATGAAAATTGTATGATAAGCATTTTTCCATAGGCGCTATTTATGAAACTGTTTGATAGATGTTTTTTTTATATGGACATCAATCCGGGAAGTTTCATTTTCAAGGTTAAGGATCAACCCTACAATATCTCCCCTAATCGAACTAGCGGGGAGAAAACATGGATTTTTCAGAAAATAAATTTAAGTGCAGCCCAGATTTAAACTAAATTAATAGTTTTATTTTTTTTTCAAATGATTGAAAACATAAAAATTCAGGTAATTAACCGCAGTCAAATGCAATCAGGCATAAAAATTGCAAAAATGAATACTATTTGTGCTTTTAATCGAAATGCACACAATATACAGAGTTATCTTTTAAATTAATTATTGGCTGGGGTGGACATTCTACGGCTGGTCACTTAGGGGAGGAGATTGCACGGTTGATCCAAGGTTAACCTTAAGATTTGTTTCAAATTGTGTATTAGATATCCTGGGTGTTGTGACGATACTGAAAAGGCCTTTACAGCAGAGCCCGTTTTTTGGAGCACGTCTCACTCTTTTGTTCGACCACAGATATTTCGGGCTAAAAGGTGGTTGAAAACTTATTTCCTCTAATTCTATTTGCGTCTTGAGAAATATTTGCATTTTTTTGACTTTGAAATTCCGCAAAAACAAAGGAAACAGATTTATTTATCAAAAGGCAAAAGAGTCACTTGCAAAATTCTGAATGATTTCCTACGTTTGTTTGCTTCGAGACAAATTGTTTTAAATAGCAACTAGCTGTTCTATTTTTGCTCTTTCAGATTGTGATGCCTTTTATCAGGCCTTAATTCCTATTGCCTAAGGTAGCCAGTAAAAAAGAGCGATCGCTCACTTAGCCGACAAAGTTGTACCATAATCTTTCCAAACAAATAGGAACATAGAAACAGTACCAGTATTCATTTGATTTTAATCATTAAGTAAAATTTATTTGAAGAAAATTATAATGGTTTAGGTTCCATAATGGTTTCATAACTATTCATGAAACCTATCGAGTTTAGATTTATTCATTCATAGGTCAAGTGTTTTTATCCTATAACCTTAGTTGAAAAACGTGCTGCCGATTATACCTTTAAGAGACCAGGAAGTGTCGTTACATTCATAGCTCTTAGTACCTCAATTTGCAAATTTCTTTAGTCCCTAAAAGTGGCTTTAAGAGCAACTCTTCTCAAAATCAATACATCTTTCACCCTTGGGATATTCTTCTAGCAGTGAACGGAGGTGAAATCATAACTATAGAGACCTCTTTCACTCATTGGTTATAAGTGATTTGTTCACCACTTTATCGTCAATTGTGCAAAGAAGACACTTTTAGTACGACCTGCTTCAATTTTTCACGCTCAGTTGCCATCAAAACCCAAAATGAAGGGTTTTTTGTGTAGTTTTTTGAGTTCAAGCGTTTCAAGTAAATATGGTTAAATCACCATTTTTTGTTAATTTTAAATAAAGAGTATGCTCAAGTTCAATTTCTTATCATCTGAGTTCAATAAGACAAAACTCAATATCATTTTGAAATTATTGAAAATTAGCTATTTAATTTAAGTGCTCAATGTCGGTATTTTTTTATTTGCAAACATAAATCATTTGAATATTTGAATATTGAATTATTTGCAAATAAAAAAGCTTGAAACAATTTTGGAGATATTTGACGAGACAGAGAGACGTAAGTTTTTGTGCAGATTTGGCACATCAAGTAGATCAACTGACGCCGGCATAAATTTGGATTCTTAAATGAAAATTTTTCATTACAACTGAATCCATTAATTTTGCAAAATCGTCATTACTTGCTTTGAGCTATGAGCTACTATTTATAGTGTAATTATATTCCTTAACCATATTTCTTAGCCACATTATAATTCTTCGCAATTCTACCGTATTTGCACAGGTAAAAAATTTTGATTAATGTCATACAAACGTCAATCAAAAATCTTTTTATAAAAAATTTTTACGAGTAAACATTTTAATTGATCGCATTCTGTCGTCAAAAATATTTCTTGTTCGTGTAGTGGAAAAAAACCAACCGATGACATTCAGACAATGCTCAGGTTGATCAGCGGTTATTTTCAATAGTAAATCACCATTCAATCACCAAAACAGAATTACTAAAAAGTTTTCGGTCAAGTATTATGTTTAGAAAAAATATTAAAAAAACACATTGATAAAAATTTAACAGTGTTGACTGTTATTTCCTCGGATATTTTTAATCGACAGTGATAAAAGAAGACAACTTGTTTTGGAGAGCCACAGTAGCGGAAAACGGGAGGGGAGAGGGGTATTCAACCTCATCGGGGAAGGGTGCCCATTTGGTACAAATTAAGATATTAATAAGTATTTATGAGAGATCGGAAAATAGGTCGACTTAACAAGAAAAAAAGGAGAAAAACTCTGTTTTTTTTCGAGACAATCCCCGGAGAGCCTTCGCTTGCTTAGAAATTAATTTAAAAATCACTCTTCTCATGTATTGATGCCTTGAATGTAATGACTGGGACACCAAGTTAACATCCTTCGTCCACACCCCCAAAAGACGTCCGTTTAGGGGGGGTGTGATTGTTAACTTGGTTCTGAGTTCGAATTTTCAGCCAATCAGAACTGAGGGTTATAGACACAGCGCTTAGCAATTTCAATCTTAACGGAGAATCTTACCACGTGGTTTTTTTTTGGGGGGGGGGGGGGTGGGGTTAACTCGATTTACTGACTGTCCTCTACAAAACTGAAGTAAAGTATAACCACGTTTAATAATTATATCAACTGATGTCGCTATCTACTCTTTCCAAACCGGATAGTCTTATCTACGGATAAACTAGAAAACAACAGAATTGAATACTACATGTTCATCAAAAAAATCCCACTGCATTTTTGAGAACATCGTGTATCCTTGTATGTAGTTATTCAAAAGTTTATGGTTAAAACTATTCAATTGAATCAGAGATCCCTTTCAAAACACTGACCCAGGTGGAAAAAAAAATTAAGAATTTTTTGAACATTTTTCGATTCTTAGGTGTGATTGAGCTTCTGTTGAGTTTCTTTTTATTTAATGCTAGCTTTTGATTTGATTTTGTTTACTTTATAACTCACTGGATCAGCTTTGCATTCTTGTCCAATAGCTTACCCGTTTTTTTTTTAAATTTTTTACGCAAAGCTTGAGATATTCCATGATTGCGATAAAAATGCCGCAAATTGAGATAAGCCATAGCTGAAAATTTAAACACAAAATATACAAAGAGAAAATCATGTCAAAAGCTAGCTAATAAAAGAAAAAACTCAACAGGGGATCGATCAGACCTAATGTTTGAAACACGTTAGATATTGTTTTATTTCATTTTCCCGCTAGGGTAAGGTTTTTGAAATTGACTTCTCACGTTCAACTAAACGGTTTCAACCACAAATTTTTAGAAAATTACATAGTAAGAAATACGATTTTGATGGGCATGCTGTGAGATTTTTTGACGAATATGTAGAATTTGTTTCTGTTGGATACTAGGTTATCGGTGCATATGACTAACCGGACACTTTTAAAGATTCTTACGCTAAAATTTCTCTGACGGTACATATTTTTTTTTCAATAACTTTCAATAAGATTACTCGTGTAAAAAAAATTTTTGAGAAAAATGTGAAAAACTGAACAACGTTGATTAAATGTTTGACACTAGAACGGTTCATTGGATCTAAGAGTCTAACTTTTTTCTCCGCTAAAGGAGACACCTGACAACTGACTGGCTTAATGGTGCTCTCCCATATAGTTCCGATTTGTATTGGCAAAACTTAAAAAATAAAACTGGAGATTATTGCTTGGAATTATTTCAAAAAAATTAATATTTTGATTTTTATTCGCTTCATGAAAGTATAACGAAAAACTTAGTTTTTACGAGCTATGATTTTGTTTAGTCTGTAAATCAACATTGTCATGTAGAAAGATGAAGTTTGTCTCTATTTCGTCTGTGGTAACTGATGATCTGAATTTTAAACGAATGTGCTTAAAACCGAATTCAAACCATAAGTCACGAACAACTATTTTCACAGAATGCAAAATAGCATTGAATCTAAATCATCTATAACAACACCGTCAATGTGATGATTTGCTTTTTATGTCGAGAACCGCGGTTGACCTTGACTTTGACCGGCATTGCATCATATGATTAACAATAGCATTACAGATTATTTGGTTACCTCTGTAGCAGTACTACACTCTTCCTCTTGTAGGGAAAATTGTTACTCTGTATAAACTTTACAAATGATATTTAAAATAAAATAATTAGTGATAACCTCAGTTCTACATAATCAAATTTTTTTGCTAAGAGTTTCCTTTTCGTAGACACTGCCTTTTCATTTTCTTTTTTCTTTACTCTCTTGTTTCCTGACTCTTCTAAACCCTTACCCACTCTAAGTCGAACGCTTTATATCGTACGAGTGATTCTTGTTCAAACTTCCAGGCGAACAAATACCGCTCAAGTTGTTGGAATCTGTCTTCTCAGAGGATTTCCTGTCGCCAGTTCTGTTCGGTGAAGCTCGAGAGAAGCTCTCGTCAACTCAACCAAAATCGCTTCATTTTTGATTTTGATCGATTGGCCCTCAACTGATATCACTGATTTTTTCACTGAATCCCCGTATTTTTCAGGCAGTTTTTTTTGTTAGACCGCATACTCCTTTGTACTTCGTCCGCTGCTGCCATGTCTTGATTGATTCTTCAACTGTTTCTGTCTGGGAAAAGTCGAACCAATTTTTTCTCAAACAAAAAAAGGTCACTGTTTTGTTACCCAAAAACGCTATACCATAGAAGTTTCGATTTGTTAGATTGAAACTTTGTTGATACCTTTTATTTTGAAATTATGTTAAAAATTGGACTATTTTTTTCCACTAAAGGATCAATGCTTCAGTTTGGAATCAGTGGTGATCGAAACCATTTTGTGGATCGGAAAATTACGAAGCAATTTAAATACTTTGCAAAGCAACCCATTATGTCCAAATATTCATTATCAAAAAATCATATTATATTAGTTCATCCGAGTAGTGCAGAGTTTAAAAACTTCTCCTTCCCATAGTGCCTGTTAAAAACATATTTTTTTTGGCTTGATGCATCGATATTTTTTGTAAATAAGAAAGCCACACTGTCCCAAAATTTTAGTTTTATTGAAAATTTTGAATGTAAATTATAAACAAAAACGTTTTTAGTTTGTTACCTATGAGTTGATCGCATTATCTCGAGAAACTATAACAACTTGACCATATATTGAGCGACCGGCTAGCAAAAACTGCGAGGATATTTTGAATCAACTTATTCGAAGAACCCCAAATCTTGCTATTATTCAGAGGATCAAACCTTGACAGTCGCGATTGTACAAAATTGTTGAATGAATACTGCGTCCTATGCAAAATATTTTCCAAAAATGCTATAGAACTTTTCACTAAAAATGTTTAGAAAAATTAGCATTTTTTTTAAAAGAACTCCATTATTTTATATTCATTTTTTAGCTTGTTATAAGAGGCTTTAACAATCAAAGTGGAAAACTTCTTCAGCCGTCAAACATTTTTGGAGTGCGTTACAACTGTTCACAATCATTTCCAGTTAGGTGAGAGTAAGTTAATTTTTGCTGGTCCAGTAAAACAAAAAATACGTGTGACACAAGTTACTCGGAAATTTATGACCTTTTAATATTTTTTTAGTTTACTGTAAATGCAGAACATTTTTTAGTTCACTGTACATATTCCGAATTTATCAAACTTGAGGTTATATTTGTATGTCTTTTCATGCACTACCAACAAAAAAGACCATTGAAAAAATTTTACAGCTCAGATTTTTAATTTTGTTTGAAGTTCAAGAAAACTCAATGCTTCAATTGAAAAAAATTACATCTATTTGCGTCATTTAATTAGTTATTAAGGAAAGTTACTCAAATTGGTATATTTTACTTTTTCAGAAGCTCTCAAATACCTTACAAATCAATGAAAAACTTCCTTTAGACCGTTTTGTCAAGAATTTATTCGAAGGATTAAGTTTCTATCAGAAGCGAGCAGTCGCACCAACCTGCAAAGCTGAAATAAGATAGCATGCAGCTTGTATTAGGAACGGAAAAAACTTACAGGCGATGAAATTGCAAACATGAGACATTATTTAAGCGGATCTTTGCTTAATGTTCACAGTGCCATTTATTTTATGCCAATTTACCCTGTGTCTTTCAGCTCTTGTAACATTCAGCTCTTGTAACGTGTCCTTTGAATTTATATTACGCCAATTTAATTTTATCTTAATTTGTGATTTTAAAATTTTAGGCCAGTCAAGTCGGTCGCTTCGGCCACGCCCTTTGTAATTATTTTTTTTTCGGTCTTATCAATTGTGGAAACATTTTTCTGTGTCGCGTTCGGTCTCAAAACCTGGAAACAAAATTTTTAGTCGCGACGGTTTAAAAATACCCAATAGCCGGTAAATATCGAAATTATGTCCCAATAATCCGGGCATAAATCCGCACTCACTCTTGACTCCGGTGGTTATGCAGAGACAGCTCTTTGTAGACAGCTGAACAGCTGTCAGGGGGAATCTAGGATTTTCTCGGGGGGGGGGGAGAGAGAGATTTTCAAAAATAATCCAAAATTTTGTCGACATTTTTTAGGTCGACCAAGTTGATTTATGGAGTTTTTTGGCACCCGCTAACTCCTCAAATTTAGTATATATTGGCGCCGAGGGCGCCTTTAGAAAATTTTTAGGGTCCGTCACCAAAAATGGATATCTCAAAATAGTACAAAGGGGGAACCTTTGGGTCGGCAGGGGATAGAATCCTTGAGGGGGACGTTCACCCGCCCTAAATCCGCGTCTGACAGTTGGTATGCTGGCCTTTTTTTGTTGGTCAATGATATTAAACAATTTTTATTTTAATTGAAAGTAGAAAATCTACTTTTGCTAAAGTAGGCGGTTAATTTTATAGAAAATTGCTGCAAATGAAATCAGAATCATAAGCATCATCTGATTTTTGAATGAGCAACCAAATTCATATTCAATTTTTTATTCTTTTATTTGTATAAAAGCTTGAAAAAATATTTAACGCAAATTGTAGATATTTCTCAATTCCATAACTTTATGAACAGATTTGAATTTTTAATCTGTCTGAATTTAGGGACATTTTGTGACAGTTAAACATCATTTTTCAAAGCCAGCAAAACGGTGTCTGTTTTTCAGCTATAATTGAAAATATCCCAGCAATTAACAGGACGAAATTTAAATAAAAACGATTTTGAAAACAGCACCATAAAGAGGCATGAATTCAACTTCTGGAGGTTTGAGCGTTGCTTACGATACCAGTGCGGTCACTGGGCCGACGGCAAATCAGCCGAACAAAGTGAGTCCAGAACCTTTCAACGAAGTGCGATTGGTGGAGTATATCATGGATGGCTACAATACCTTCGCACGGCCGGTGAAAAACATTACGTCTACAACTACACTGGAGATATCGCTCTATGTTATTCAGATTCTTAAACTGGTAATTTTTTAAGTAATTTTTGAACAACTGTCCAAATCTACTGTCTAAATCCCCCACCTAGAGAGAAGCGATATGGATGTAAGGTGAGGTATCAGCCTCTCAATCGAATGGTCAGTGGTTCAGGCCCCACCCTAAACCGGTAGAGGGTGATTCAACATTACCCGGCACATAAAACTAACTAGAAGACGCTATAGAGGGCATTTTTGAGTAATTCTTAATCAGGGACAGCACTACTGCTCGACGTGTGGAGATGCACAGACCGAGTGATGGTCATTTTATTGTTCAATGGCCACAAACATCTATTCGCGCAATTGAAAAGTTTTCTGATTATTAGATTAAAAAAGTCCATTTTTAAAAGTAGCATCGAATCCTCACGAGAAATTTTTAAAAGAAAAAATGTCAACAAAAAAAAACGTTTTGACTAATTTTGAAAATATTCGAATTTTCAATCTTCATTTTAGACCTCGGGGCTTCAACAGATTTTGCTTATATTAGTTCAGATTCATAATCGACCGTTGAATTCAGCATGCTTCTTCTTTCTGAAGTTTGGTAGTGTTTTGTGTGTTTAGAGTGAAAAAGACCAAATCATGACTTCTACCGTATGGCTAAATTTGGTAAGAACTTGTTTTAATATTGGATTTATTTTGGAGCACTTAGAGTGCACCCTCAAATAAATAGCATGCACAAAATTGTCTGAAGGATAATCAAAAATCTGTTCTGGCTATAATGCTTGCTACCTCTTTTAAAGCTTGATACAACTCCCTCCTTTAAAAAATTATAGTATCTCCACGCCCTCTGATATAAAATCCATTTTTGCGGTCTATAATTTATTGTTAGGGGGGGGGGCGTAAGGGGGATGTTGTTGATGACTTTAATGCACGTGCAGAAAATAAGATGTGATTGTGTTTCCATCTTCAGGAGTGGCGTGACGAGTACCTGAAGTGGGACAAGGACGCCTGGGGCATCCAGCAGATCCGGCTGCCCGGAAACCTCATCTGGAACCCAGACCTCACCCTATACAACAAGTAACTAGGTTCCCATTGCTTACCCATAGTATTGGAAAATTATTTTACAGCTTGGGTGAAGTTCTGTTATAGCATCATTGGTAAGCAAAATGATTGGTTTTAATATGAAGTCCCTTCACCATCGACCCTCCCCCTAAAGACAATGTCAGATGCAGAAGTTGGGTAAGCAATCGTTTTTTTGCTGTGTCGCTAATAGATTAGTTTGAGCTGGGGACAACTTTATCTTTTTCGTTCAATGTTTTTGATTCATTGGAGACTGTTTTTGATCCGACCATTTGAAAAATGGGGAGGAACTTTGAATTCGGGTGTGTTTTAGTTTTTTCATTTTGTTTTCCACACAAAATCAGGTACCACAACTAATCATCGGACTGGGTTGAGTGAAATATCATATTAAAGCGCTTTTAGTCGTGATTCGAGCGACATTAGAAAAGTTTCCAAAAAAAATTTCCAGGCGAAAATTTGGTTTTTCGTCTTATTTCGAGCTAATTAAGCAAGCAAGCAGGCTTACATCAGCTTAATTATGCCTAATTAAGGACCCAAAAAATTTTTTTTTTTGCAAATAAATTTTTTTGGAGTTTTTACTTCCATTTCAGGAACCAAAAACTTCAGAAAAAATTAAAACTTTTCTGTAAAAAAATTGGAATTGAAAACAAAATTGAAATTTTTTTTCTTTTTCTGTTTTTCTAGACATTTCTTACTATGAGTTTCGAATACGCCTAAATTATCCTCTTACCTCAGATCCCTTTACGTCAGATGCCTCACACCACGCAGAAAAAAACTACACTAATTTGAAAAAAAAGTTTGTAGTTTTTTAAAGACTATGGTCGGAACATTGGAACATTCTGCGCTACTTGCACAGTAACCGGCTATCCTTATACTTCGTTTAAGAATGTTTTTCTAACTGATTCGTTTGTGATCCAAATGATGTTTTTTTACTTATTCCGCCCAAATTTCTCAATTTTGCTTTTTTTCAATTTTCAATGTATAAATGTTGGAACATTATACTGATAGCGGATGCCGGACATCATGCCGACGGGATTTCAACCCTAATTGTAACACTAAGGACCTCAAGCCGAAAATTTTTTCAACAAGACATAAAATGAAATTAATTTGAAATCTGTTGCGAAGAATTTTTCAATTTCATGAGCTTTCTCGTTATTGTGTTTTTCATAAATTTTGAGCCTCTAATTGATGTTTAGGAATATTGAAAATTAAAACATTGTTGAAAGTGTTTTTCACGTGTATTGTATAATTTATGCATTTCAAAATCCGGCCGATGCAGTTCCATCTGATACCATTCTTAAGTGATGAATTGTTATGAAGAATGCTTATTATGAACTGAACTTGCCTAAATTCTTAAAATTAACATTTTACAGATGGGAAAAACAGTTTTGAGTTGCTTGTAAAGTTTATATTATGGCCTGAAACCCCTACGGATTGTTGTCCTAGACCCACTGATAGCACTGGTTTACTTAGTTAATACAAACGCAATCACTTTATTCTTAAGCCGACTTCTAATAAGGCCAAACTTTGAGCAGATACGAAGGCGGTAATTTTTTCCTAGAGCTGATTTTTTTGGGTGTTTTTCTTAAATCCGGAAAAACTTTTGAGCAAATTTGAAATAATTTGGAGTAGTTTACCAAACATTCTTCATTATAGGCCAATTCGGCTTATTTACAAATCGACTCAGAGTTGTGAACAAAACATTTTAAGATGGTACTGAAATGTGATTGGCTAATTCTATGCAATCAGCTTGAAGCAAAATAATATCAGATCAAGATGTTGAAATACTGATTTATGGGCGGAATAAGCAAAAATAACCCCGCAATGTTAAATTCGATAAAAAAATCTATCATACAAAATTCGATTGCGACAGCAGAGGTCTAATAAAGTTCTGCAAAGTATAAAATCGCTGATATAAAATCAGCGGCTTCGCGATTTGAACAATGACTCGTATTTTGCATGAATTCTAAAACAAGATCTCGAATTTATTTATGAATTCTAAAAAAAACGACCTCGAATTTATTCTGAGATGATTTCAGTGCGCAAGAGAATGACCCCATAATCAAGAACATGAAGGGTTCCTTCGCAGTGGTGAGTCATGACGGGCGGGTGACACTGTGGCCCCGACCACTCATTCTGCAGAGCAACTGTCCCATAGATGTGCTCTACTTCCCATTCGACATTCAAGACTGCATGCTCAAATTCTCATCATGGGCATACAACGTGCAACAGGTAAAAAGTGCACCTTATTTTGAATACAGTCTTTTTTGGGACCATACGACATCTAGACAGAACGACCGACAAATTATTAAGAGAAAAACAACTTCTAGAAATAAATTGTCAGAGCGAATTTCAACGTCTTCCTCCAAGATTTAGATTTGATTATAAGATTTCCAAGCAATTTTTTTTTCATTTGTCGAAACAATTTGCGAAAAAAAACACAGCAATCAGTTATTTTTGTTTCGTTCTTATCATTCGGTATCTTCAGCTCAAGATCTCGACAACATCTGGCATCCACCTGTCCAGTTACATCCCCTCGACCGAGTGGGAGTTGATTCAGGCCCAGGCAGTGATAGAGTACAACCCGTTCGACGAGGAGGGGGGCTACTCTTTCGTCCAGTTCCAGATCAAGATACAGCGGAAGAGTCTGTACTATATTGTGAATCTCATTCTGCCATGTATTATGCTCTCCTTAGTGATGTTGTTCGGACAGTACTTGCCCTGTAATTCAGGTGAGGGCATCAATTTTATAACAAAAAGTCTGCTAGTAATCGAAAAATAATTAAAAGAACAATTATTAGCAATAATGAATACAAAAGAAGTATACTTGTTCATTTAAAAATAAAATTATCTACTTTATAAAACGTTTGAAAAAGAAATGTGTCAAAAAAAACATAAATTTTTCCCGAGCAATAAAATAAAATAAAAACATTAGAATAAACAAAGACCTAAAAACAGACCAACTATTTGAACGCTCCTCTAAATCAGCTCATGACAAAAGAAACTATTAAAATATGCTTTCGGTGAAAAGTTTTAGTAAACCGATACCGATCTGACAGGGCTGGTCAAAAAAGGATGACTTTGTTGTTATTTTCATATCATACAAAGCAATACAGCAAAGAATGGGTGGTATATACCAGCGTAATCGGTGATTCAGAAGTTCACAGCAGCGACCATAAATGACGACTCATGCCCTGACCACCAATGCAACTTCTTTAACCTTTGACCTTTCTGATCGCATATTTGATCATCTGTTCAGGTGATGCAAAAGTGCAGCTGGGCACTGCTCTCTTCACCTCCATGTGTGTTTTCCTCCTTCTAGTGGGAACTATGATGCCACCCAGTGATGTGCAGCCCCTTCTTGGTTAGAGTTCTCTGCTTAGAGTCATCCGTTTGCGACCTTGAGTTTCCTATTGTAATCTAACTTGTAACGACTTTGGGATTCACGAACAATTACCCACTAATTTAATCTTATAAACTAAAACTTTTGTTGTTTCTAGCTGTTTCTTACCACAATTACTGTTGTTTCTACAAAGTTGGAAATCATTACTAAACAGCTTGTGAATGTCAACAAAAGGAACTATTTTTTTTTACAAGTCTCAGACGAGTCGTTTTTGAAAGTTTACTTTGAAAATATTCAGTTTGGATGACGTTTAGGAGTCTACTACTGTGCCACTCTGTTTCTCATCACCTTCTCAACTGCCATAAATGTCTTCGTCCTCAACATCGTCGACCGGGATACCCCAGTTCCCAAGTGGATCCGAATTGTATTCCTGCACTACGTCGCACGACTAGTCGCTCCCAGTCTAAGACAGCTATACTGGCCCAAGAACCCTCTCGCATCCGGGAAGTCCTCGAGTCCCAGGAGTCCCGCCAGATTTGTTTCAGGTTTTTTTTAAAAAAAGATTCTTGATAACAAAAATTTTACAAGCATGAAGTCAAACATATGTCAAATTATCGATTGAAATTGTTCCAACGAATAGTTATATTTGAAAGTTTTGTAGTCTTATTTATTACAATTGTTGCCAGGTTCCAAGATGTCCATTGCTCTCAACAGTGACTACAACCATTACAATAACTATACCAATAAAGACTGCGCATTCAGTTTCGAGCCCTCCCATCTGAACGGTCACGTGATTGACCATTCTATGTCGTCAAAGATCAACCAAGGTCATCATCAGGCATATTGCTCGAGACTGGTGTCGACTTCTCCAGGTATTGCTATGTTCAACACTGGACCTGCAAGTATGTACCAACAGAAGGTTCCCGACTCCCCGATTAGAGAAATTACGGAGCTGAAGTTAGATGAGACTGGAAAGCAGTTGGTACAAGTTAGGAAGTACCTTGAGTGGATTCGGTAAGAGAAAAATGGAGAAAATTTTCAATTTTGAAGCTTCAAAACTGAAACATTGGCGCTTAGCATATGTTCAAATAAGACTCGCATATGATAGATAGACTTAAAAGATAAGGAAAACAAAGCTTTACAGAAAATCTATTTTAGAGCTCTAGAAAATATTAAGAAGTGTAGTTTTCTTTCTTTTTGATGCCATGTTTCCATTTACTCATGATTGCAATCTGAGCTTTCAAGAGTTTTTGTCAGATTTCTATTTAAGACGGCTTTTAATCTCTAATTTTAATTAGAGTTTGTGTGTTAGTTAAAAGCGAAGCGATATTTCTCTGCCATTGACGAAGCAAAACATTTCACGAAATATTTTCAGATAACATTTTTATCAACCCTATTGATAATAAATTAGTTTCTGCTTCAAAATGATCTATCAAACTTTTATCTATCTCCGTGTGACATTTGACCTTTGACCTCAATACTTTTTATAGAGTTCAAGTGGAGACTATGATGACAGATGTAAGAGAAAAGAACGAACTGGGCCGTCTCAGAAGCGACTGGCAGTCAGTTGCAGTGATAGTAGACCGCACACTCATGATCGTGTTCACAGTCGTGTTCCTATCCACCATTCTCTGGATCTACAACCAGTTCCCATCCGAGCTAGTCCATCCCACTCACGTTCCTGCCAGACCTAATATCGTCATAGGCGGCTGAAGAAATTTCGTCGACCAGATGTTTCACTTTTTTCACCCTGACAAAAAAGAGATGAATTTGAAAGCCATCGACTTGAGATTTTTTCTTCAAAAGTTGACAGAAACTGATCATGAATAAGTCAAAAACTGGGAATATGAATCACTTTTAGCCAAGAATTGTTTGAGATCGATACTTAAAAAGCAAATGGGAAACTACTTGGAAAATATATTTAAAATACAAAATGGAAGTTACTGGAAATCATAATTTTTATAAAGGTTTTTATATACTAATTATGTTTAGTTAAGTTACTATATTATTATCAGGCCCCGGATTTTATTTAAATATCTATTTTTCCCAGTTAACTAACAATTTCTGAGAAATAAATTAACCAGGTAGATGCGCTTTAATTAAATGAACTCTCTGGAAATTTTCCAGAAAAACGACAGTATTTCAAAATTATACGCCAACATTGATATCTTCACCAAGGCCTTTGATCTTATAGTGGGGGAGTTGGTAAGATGTTGTAAATTTCAAAACTGAAAATTTGAGTGTTTTTCTCGGTAAATTATACCACCAAGGAAATACTCAGGTTTTCTTTCAGACTCGCTACATTTTTTAACACAAAACTAGTTAAAAACCATTTTTTGCTGTTAATGTAGCAAATTTTTGAAAAAACGCGAGTTTTTTTGAAAGTTTTTTATTTTTAACCCAAGGCGATAATTTTTAGGAACTATTTCATTAACTAAGATAGATTTTTTAACTAAGCTAAATCCCAGGGCCTGATCATGATTATTATTGATATCTAAACAAAGGTTTTAATAGATTGTCACAATGATGAATTATTTATTGATAAACCAAATCCTGTTGCGTCGCTCGGGTGATTCAAAAAATTTTTCCAACAAAAAAATCTTGCGAACGCTTTTACACTTTTTAAGCAACTCTTAGGAAAATTTGCAAGCAATGGAGAAAACAACAGTTAGAGAAGTTCATTTGTGCACAAAGTTTATCGTAACTCTCTAAAAAGTCCATAAATTGTTCGTCGATTAAAATAGATATGCTATGATGAAAAGTATGGTTGCAACTAATTTAATCTATCGTGTCTAATTAATCAAGCCAGATGCCACAAGTAAATTGTAGATTTCGATTTGTAAACTTTTATATATAAGCCATCTTATTTTAAAGTGCAATGGTGGACATAGCTAGATATACAAATACAACGATTTTGATTGAGCCCTATGATTTTGGGTCCACGCTTTGAATTTAATTTTTAATGTTTCGTTAAAAACAATTTTGATCATTGCAGCGCTTGTAGCGCTATAAAACGTTTTTTAATGTATTTGAACAAAAATGCTCTGATCAGAGCAAATCTTTGGCAGTTACAAATTAAACATTTTTCAATTTTTGTTGAATTTTTTTTCCACATAGTGTTGACATTATTTTTGATAAATTTTGGCTCTTTTTCGCAATATTGAAAGCAAAAGCAAAAATCTACATGGTTTGAAATGATTTTTCAGCCGCAATAATTCTTTTTTATTAATTCCAACTCTTGAATTCAAAATCTTACAGATAGCACTAAAACATTCGATCAACCTTAGTTAATTAAGAACTTGAGGTTTTTCTGAACAAAAAATCACCCCAAAGTCAAAACTTCTATCGCTTTCTTCGAAATTAAAAAACAAAGGCGTGAAGCACTTTCAAAGATACAAAAATTATCAAATATTTTGATTAGAACACAATGACAAGACAGTTAGGTTCTCATTTTTTCGGTTCAGGAAATATATTTTAACCGCGCAAAGCTTCCCTTGCTGTACTATTTAATTATCTTTTTCAGCTGAATGGCGTACATTTCAATCTTATTTACAACGAGTTTTTTTAAATCCAAGAAAACCAGTTTTGCTCTAAACATCCTGGTTGACGTCCTATAATTTTTTAAATAACTTAATTGCATGGAATAAACAAAGTAAACTCCAAATAATACTATCAATGTTTGAATCGGCTACTTTTAGCTTCAACACCATATGCAGGGGCGGATCCAGGATTTTCTCGAGGGTGGCGGATTTTCAAAAAAAAATTTTTTTAGGTCAATTAAATTGATTTTTTGAGCTCTCCCAAAACACTGTTTTATTCCTATTTTGGCCAAAATTTGTGCTCCGCGGGCAAAATTTTAAAAAAAATAGGCCAAAAAGGCGTTTATAGGCATTTTTTGGAAAATTTTAACCAAAAAATTGCGTTTTATTTGGCGCGCGCTCCCACGTCAAAATTAGTATATATTGGCGCCAAAGGCGCCTTTAGAAAATATTTAAGGTTGGTGAGCCAAAACTGGATTTTTTAAAAGTACCAAAAGGGGGTCCCTTTGGGTCGGCCGGGGGTCGAATTCCTGAAAAGAAAGCGTCCGCCCCCCCCCCCCCCCCCAGCCCAACCCCCCTAAAACTCATGAAATAGAACAATAAAGAAGGCTGCTTGTATCAGGGACACTTAAATTTTTCCAATTACCCTAAAACATGTCCCATAAAGTTTTGGACTAATGACAAAAACTTTCAAAACAAGAAACAATAGGGGAAAACTTTCAAAACAATTGAAGGCTCTTTTTCCTTTTCCCTCCCACCTGCAAATTTTTACATGTAAATTTGTTGACCACATTATCCGATTGTTATGAAAATTTACATATAGACTAATAAGGCCACAACAAACATATTTGGTATTCATACTCAACCTCGTAAAACCACTCGTTACACTAATAAGTTGAAACTGGCGTCAGGTGGGGGGAGGGAAGGAAAAAGAGGCCAATTGAACATGAACACTATCACATTTTGTGAAGATCTACTACACACGTGCAATGACAAGTACTGAACAAAATTTTTTGCGTGTCCTCGGTTTAATTTTGCAAAAATAGTCATCACAATTTCAGCGAGATCCAAAGATAATTGATTAAAAATTACAGTTTTGGTTCATTAATACCTAAGAAATTTTGATGAATGAAGCAAAGAACACTAAGCATTGAAATTTTAAGATAAAAAATTAACGTAAAGGATTTATTTGTTAGAAATAAGAGATAATGACTCAGAGAAGTTGCTAGAGAGTTGAAAATACCCTAAAGGATCGATACCCCAGGGTTTTTTCATTTTTTTTTACAATTTGAATATCAAAATCAATTTTGATTCAAAAGTTATCAAGCGCTGATTCTGTCACATTCGGCCAATTTTTCTGTTCCAAGTAAAATGCCTGTTCTCACATACGTAAGTTTTTCGCAAAAGTTTTGGTCTATTATCGACGTTCCATATTGCAAAAACAATTTTTTTCGAATCAAAACTTTTCGACATAATCAAAAGCTGAGTCGAATTTTGGAGAAGTTTGCAAAAATCAAGAAGTAGGACAACTTTTTGGGCAAAATTGGGGACTGAAAAATTTCTCGAAATTTAAAGGAGATTCGGCAATTTCTTGTAAGCCGTAGTAAGACCATCCAATTGAATTCTTTTGTAAATTGTTTGAGTGTAATGAAAAAACATTCTTTACGAATTGTTCGATTTCCAAAAGTTTTGTTGACAGCAGCGACAAATACCGTTTCGGAATATGATATGACCGTTTTTGGCCGGAAACTTTTTTCCACAATTTCGTGAGTGTTTTTCCAGAAAGTAAGTCCCAACATAGCAAACTTATTTTTTGGCGAAGAAACCAAAAAAAAACGTGACAGTTTGCAGATTAGGCCCAGAAATAGTTTTGAAGCTGCCATCGCAAAAAATATTTTTGGATTAATGAAGAAAACACAAAAAAATTTTAGCAGCAAAAAATGCACAACCCGTCAAAAAGCTGATGTCAAACAAAAAAGATTGTCTATCCACATTGTGTCTCCAAAGATAATTGATTCAAAATTACAGTATTGGGTCATTAATACCTATAAGATTTTACATCAATGGATCAGAAAACAATTAGCAGTGATAATTTAAGACTCGAAAGCAACGTAGCAGATTTATTTGTTTGAAAAAAGACATACTGGCTCAGAAAAATCGCATTTGGCTAGAGAGTTTCAAGATACACTAAGGGATTGATACCATAGATATTTCTCATTTTTTCCCACAATTTGAATATCCATAAATCAATGTTGATTCAAAATTTATCAAGCGCTGATTCTTTCCTGACACATGAGTTCTAAAACATTCAATCCCTCAATTTTGATATTTTGTTGCTAGATAAACTGAATTCAGGGACAGCTGTGATGTCTGTTTCAATGACATCACCGAAGGCTTTTTTAAAGTCCACAAATAGCTTTTGATTGGATCTTTTATGTGTTTTGAAAAAAAAAATAGCCTAATGGTTTCTCTTTCTACTAATTTTTGATTGTGTCAACGAAATCTGGGCAGTTTGATGAATTTTGACAGCAGATAACTTCGCTTCGAACGCGCTATGCAAGAAAATGGAGAGCAATAAACACCTCAAATCGACAAAAATTGGCTGTGTATTGAAATTGAAAAACAAATCGACAAGCAAAAAATTTAAAACTCTAATGACAAGCATAAATTAATTGGAACACAAAATCCAATTAATGTTAAAATCAAAATTAATATACATAAAAGAACTCATGTAAGTGAAATTTTTTTCGCAAATTATGGCAGACAGTGCCTATATTTTTCCGATAAGTGTCTAAATCAATGAGAGAGTTTTCGCGCACACTTTCAATTCTGGCGTTAGGTTTTTGTCCATTCACTTGCTGTCTGGGCGGAAATCACCTCTCTCTATTCTTTTGAAGACATTTTGGAACTTTTTTCAAGTGAAAAAAATAACAGTCCAAATTGAAGGTCGCACTCGCCCAATTTCTCTGTTCCAACTAAAATGCCAATTCTCACATACGTAAATTTTTTGCAAGTTTTTTGGTCCGTTGTCAACGTTCCACATTGCAAAAGAAAATTATCGACAAAATCAAAAATTGAGTCAAATCTTGGATAAGTTCGCAATAATTATTAGGTAACTGGGCAAATTTTTCTCGGACCACAATTTTGGGCAACAAAACCGAGACCGAAAACTTTTCTCAAAATTTTAAGAAGCTTAGGCAATTTTTTGTGAGCCGTAGTAAGACCAATCAAATGAATTTTTTTGTAAATGCTTGAGTGTAATAAAAATAACATCCTTTTTGAATAGAGCGATTCAGCGCTTGATTCAAAAGTTATCAAGCGCTGATTCTGTCGCACTCGGCCAATTTCTCTGTTCTAAGTAAAACGCCAGTTCTCACATACGTAAGTTTTTCGCAAAAGTTTTGGTCTATAATCGACGTTCCACATTGCAATAACAATTGTTTCGAATCAAAACTTTTCGACATAATCAAAAACT